AGATGGAGTCTTGCTGTGTTGTCAAGGCTGGAGTGCAGTGGTGCAATCTTGGCTCACTGCGACCTTCACTTCCTGGATTCAAGTGATTCTCCTGTCTCAGCCTCCTGAGTAGCTGAGACTACAGGCGCCCATCACCATGCCTGGCTAATTTTTTGCATTTTTAATAGAGACGGGGTTTCATCACGTTGGCCAGACTGGTCTCAAACACCTGACCTCAAGTGATCCGCCCACCTCAGCCTCCCAAAGTGCTGGGATTACAGGTGTCACTGTGCCAGGCTGAAAATGCTCTATATCTTAATTGAAGCAGTGATTACAGGTGTTTACAATTGTCAAAACTCATTAAATTTTATGGCCACTGTCTTTGCTTGCACTCTATGTATAGGTAATAAATAGACACAGCAATGTAATGAAAAAATGTAACAAAAAATACAAGTAATAATAAATTTATTTGTATAGTTAAAAGAAAAAGGAGGATGTGAGGATTTTTTTGTTGTTGCTCTGTCACTCAGGCTGGAGTGCAGTGGCACAAACACAGCTCACTGCAGCCTCAAACTCCTAGGCTCAAGCGATTCTCCCATCTTGGCCTCCCAAAGTACTGGGATTACTGAGCCCGGCCCACTTCTGTTTTTGTTTGTTTGTTTGTTTTTGTTATAGAGACAAGGCCTTGCCCTGTTACCCAAGCTGGAGTACAGTGATGTGATCATAGCTCACTGTAACTTCAAACTCCTGGCCTCAAGCAATCCTCCTGCCTCAGCCTCCCAAAAGTACTGGGATTACAGGTGTGAGCTACCACACCTAGTCCTAAACACGTTAACAGGACAGATTTCTCTGCAGTATCTCCCTGCTACCAGCTAGGAATTCAGCGGTGATTAAGTTAGATATACTCCCTGCTCTTACTGGACTTAAATATTTAAGTGAGGACAGATGCTTAACCAGGAGTCCCAAAAGCAGCATAAGGCAAATACAGCCTTGTGGTTAAGAGTTGGGCCCTGGAGCCAGACTGTCTGGGCCCACTTACAAGATCTCTCTGTGCCTGCTTCCTCATCTGTAAAGTAGGAATCACAACACCTTTGTTGTAAGGAGCGAATGAGAGAAGCTATGTAGACCTTCAGAGGTTGCCTAAGATAATGCTGATTCAGGAAGTACAGGGCACCATGGGAGATTATAATGGAGGAACTGGCCTGGCATGGTGGCTCACGCCTCCTGAGTAACTGGGATTACAGGCATGCACCACCAAATCTGGCTAATTTTTTATTTTTATTTTAGTAGAGACAGGGTTTCTCCATGTTGGTCAGGCTGGTCTCGAACTCCCAACCTCAGGTGATCTGTCCACCTCAGCCTTCCAAAGTGCTGGGATTACAGGCATGAGCCACCATGCCTGGGTAATTTTTTATTTTTATTTTTATTTATTTATTTATTTTGGTGATGGAGTCTCACTCTGTTGCCAGGCTGGAGTGCAGCGGTGCGATCTCGACTCACTGCAGCCTCCGCCTCCGAGGTTCCAAGTGATTCTCCTGCCTCAGCCTCCCGAGTAACTGACTACAGGCGCATGCCATTACGCCCAGCTAATTTTTGTATTTTTATTAAAGATGAGGTTTCACCATATTGGCCAGGATGGTCTCGATCTCTTGACCTCATGATCTGCCCACCTTGGCCTCCCAAAGTGCTGGGATTACAGGCATGAGCCACTGCACTTGGCCAATTTTTAATTTTTTTTGTAGCGATGAGGTCTTTCTATGTTGCTCAGGGTGGTGTCAAACTCCTGGGCTCAAGGGATCCTCCTGCCTTGGCCTCCCAAAGTTGCTGAGATTAGGTGTGAGTAACCTTGCCCAGCTGAGAAATTTAGATAACAGGGATGCATCTCTCATTGGAACAGGAGGGAGAGGGAAGGACCAGTGTGCGTGGAAGAAGTTCTAGTGGTGGAACGTTGAGGGAGTTTCTAAATGTTAGCCATTTTCTTGGAATGAGAAGCTCATTTGCTGACACCTGAAGGGGGACGATAGGGTTGGAATTATGAGGTGAGTGAAAGTCTCGAAATAGTCAGTGAAGTGTGGGGAGTTAACCAGAACGGTCCATGAGAGTAGAGGTTACTGCAGCTTTTTCTGAGGTTGTCCCTTCCATTGATGTTAAATACCAAGTCAGAGCTTTTCAAAGGCGGGGAAAGTTAAAAAAAAAAAATCAGATGAATGGAGTATTTAATTTGTTCCTCTGATATAATCCTACTTGCTGTAGAAATGAACAAAGCTGGCCAGGCGCAGTGTCTCATGCCGGTAATCTCCACATTTTGGGAGGCTGAGGTGGGTGGATCGCTTGAGACTAGGAGTTTGAGACCAGCCTGGCCAACGTGGCGAAACTCTGTCTCTACTAAAAATACAAAAATTAGCCGGTGTGGTGGTTCACGCCTGTAATTCCAGTACCTTGGAGGCCAAGGCAGGTGGATCACCTGAGGTCAGGAGTTAAAGATCTTGGCCAACATGGTAAAAACCCATCTCTACTAAAAATCCAAAAGTTAGCCAGGCATGGTGGCACTTGTCCCAGCAACTCAGGAGGCTGAGGCACAAGAATCGCTTGAGCCCAGGAGGCAGAGGTTGCAAAGAGCTGAGATGGCACCACTGCACTACAGCCTGGGCAACAGAGCAAGACTCTGTCTCAAAAAAAAAAAAAATTCAAAGTGCTTGACACCAAACTTGAGAAATTGCAAAAAAATCTCTAATGCATGCATTCTAGATCCATGTGGGATGTCCTACTTATTGGAAAGACACATTTCACTTGGGCCCCTGATGCTTCCAATCTACCACCAGCTGTTACTGTGGCTTCAGCTTCTTCTACATGTATTTCTTCTGACCTGAACAAGGATGGAGTGACTGGTGACTATGATAGTATAACATAAATATTGATAAGTTCTGTGTGTGAAAAATTACACAAACCCACCTCATGGTGAATTCCTTGCATTTACAGTCTTCACTGGAAAGCTGTGATTTACAGCATTACTGTGAAAACTGCTGAGCCAAGCATTTCAGTCCAACACTGGGACAGTGATCTACATATCAACAGAATGCTCCCTTGACTTTACAGAGCATTTAGAGTGAATTTTGTCTAAGAGCAAAGATAACTTACACACCTAAATATGTTTACTTATTAGATTTCAGAAAACTTTAACCAGTATGACCGTGAGCACCTCCACCATGCCAGTACGGAATGATTGCAGAGCTCAGCCACAGGCAATCCCAATGCACAGAATGCTAAACTTGACATTAGTCCTTTACCTTGTTAAAACAAACAAAAAAATCCCAAATACCAGAAGCAAAAACATGCTGCTGTTTCTCCTACCTTCTTTTTTAGGAGATGGGGTCTTGCTCTGTTGCCCAGGCTGGAGTACACTGGCATGGATCACATCTCAGTGCAGCCTCAGCCTCCCAGGCTCTGGTGATCCTCCCACCTCAGCCTCCTGGGTAGCTAGGACTACAGGCATGAGCCATCATACTTGGCTAACTTTTAAAAATTTTTTTATTTTATATTTTGATTTTTGAAATCCTTGCTTAAAAAAAAATTTATTTTTTACAGACGGGGTCTTACTATGTTGCCCAGGCTGGTCTCAGACCCTTGGACTCAAGCAGTCCATCTGCCTTGGCCTCTCAAAGTGCTGGGATCACAGGAGTGAGCCACTGCGCCTGGCTTAATTTTCTTTTTTAAACTTTTCAAGACACAAGATCTTGCTATTTGCCCTGAATGGTCTCAAATTCCTGGCCTCCAGTGATCCTCCTGTCTCACCCTCCCAAGTAGCTGGGATTACAGCTGTGACATTCTGCACCCAGATGTTTCCGTTTTTTTGTTTTTTTTTTTTTTTTTTTTTCTGAGATGGAGTCTCACTCTGTCGCCCAGGCTGGAGTGCGATGGAGTGATCTTGGCTCACCGCAACCTCTGCTTCCCGGGTTCAAGCAGTTTTCCTGGATCAGCCTCCCTAGTAGGTGGGATTACAGGTGCTCGCCACCATGCCAAGCTAACTTTTTGCATTTTTAGTGGAGATGGGGTTTCACTATGTTGGCCAGGCTGGTTTTGATCTCCTGGCCTCAGGTGATCCACCCACCTCAGCCTCCCAAAGTGCTGGGATTACAGGTGTGAGCCACCGCGCCTGGCTCCTTCTCATACTTATTAATGATTTCTTGGTAATATGAAAACTTCATAATTAAGCTCCATTAATGTGAAAAATACATCAACAGTTAGTTCTTATGCATATAGCCAATGAATGCCACTCAAGAAAAATAATAAAATGGTTTATAGGTAATGAATATATCCAGAATTTTCCATGGGGCCAAAAATTCCTTTTCCCAAGTTTCTCTGTTCTAGAGCAGTTTTTTTTTTCTTTTTTCTTTTTTTGTTTTCCATATGGAGTCTTACTCTGTCGTCCAGGCTGGAGTGTGCAGTGGCGCAATTTTGGCTCACTGCAACCTCTGCCTCCCGGGTTCAAGCAATTCTCCTGCTTTAGCCTCCTGAGTAGCTGGAATTACAGGCATGCACTACCAGATCCCGCTGATTTTTATATTTTTAGTAGAGAAGGGGTTTTACCATGTTGGCCAGGCTGGTCTCAAACTCCTGACCTCAGGTGATCCACCCACCTCAGCTTCCCAAAGTTCTAGGATTATAAGCGTGAGCCACCACGCCCGCTCTTTTTTTTTTTTTTTTTTTTTTTTTTGAGTCAGGGTCTTGATCTGTTACCCAGGCTGGAGTGTAGTGGCACAATCATAACTCACTGCAGCCTTGAACTGCTGGGCTCAGGCAATCCTCCTGCCCCAGCCTCCCTAGTAGCTAGGACTACAGGCATGTATTACCATGCCTGGCTTTTTTTTAAAAAATTATTTTGTGGAGACAGGTCTCCCTTGTTACTTAGGTTGGTCTTGAACTCATAGGCTCAAGCAGTCCTCCCTTCTCAGCCTTCCAAAATGCTGGGATTACAGGCATGAGTCAACCTGGCTAGCTATCATATCATATACAGGTACTTAATACACAGTAGAAGAATCTCTGGGGACCAAAGCTAAGCAAGCTCAATGCAGATTTACATCACTGTTGGCTGTAGGCTACACAAGGTCCCAGAGGCAGCTATGGCCCTGGGAGCTAGGTAAATGGAATGGAATGGAAGGAATAAGGAAGAAATACGAGCTGTAGTAGCACTGGGGTAACACTCCAGAACCATCCACAACAGTGGGACTTACCTTTTTAAAAGACATATACTGTTTGTGAGTCTCCCCAGGAAAATACATCTAAACTCAAACTACTGCATATATAATTCATAGACTCCATGAAACCCAATCAGTGAATTCTTAGAGGTCCAAAACCCCTAATTAAGAACTGTTGGCTAGGCACGGTGGCTCATGCCTGTAATCCTAGCACTTTGGGAAGCTGAGGCTGGTGGATCACTTGAGGTCAGGAGTTCGAGACCAGCCTGGCCAACATAGTAGAAACCCTGTGTCCACTAAAAATACAAGAAATTGCCGGGCGCGGTGGCTCACGCCTGTAATCCTACCACTTTGGGAGGCCAAGGTGGGTGGATCGCCTGAGGTCAGGAGTTCAAGACCAGCCTAGCCATCATGGTGAAACCCCATCTTTAAAAAAAAAGAAAAAACAAAAAATACAAGAAATTAGGTGGGCGTGGTGGTGGGCACCTGTAGTCCTAGGTACTTGGGAGGCTGAGGCAGAAGAATCACTTGAACTTAGGAGGCGGAGGTTGCAGTGAGTAGAGATTGCAACACGGCACTCCACCCTGGGCAATAGTGAGACTCTGTCTCCAAAAAAAGGAACTGTTGACCTATACTTCTACCAGACTCCCATTCCTCCTGCTGTCAAAGAGTCTACAGCACCCCCATTCCCAATTTCCTTCTCAGACTTGGGGCTACACCAGTAGAGAGGTTGTATGTGCTGTGAGAAGAAGGTGCAGGTCTGGTCTGCCTGTGGCCTACTGAAGAGT